AGAGCAAAAGTGCATTGTTCAACCGTATTTCCAAAAAAAGCAAAGGCAAACGTTGTCATGTAGTTAATTTAAGATGAGCTTTTTTCGGTTGAAGTGCGCAAGTGGTGAATAATATTTTACATTAGTTCATAATTTAGTAATTGGTTATAAAGTATAAAAATATAATATTTGATATATAATAATTGAAATATACTAATTGAAATTAAGATAATTGACTTAACAAAGATAATTAAGGCCACTAAAACTATTACTTTTACCCATAATTTTTATGTAAAATAATTGTGCAGTTGGTTTCTATATTGTAAACATAAATAAGAACATTACTTTATCGTACTGACTTTACTACAATATTACACTTACCTCATAACTTTCTTGTGCATCTTTTACTGCATCCACTATTAAATGCAATAATTCCTACACTTCCACATCTCCCCAGTTAAATGTTTCATTGTAACGGATACGTTTGGATACTGATGCTCTAGCCTAAAAAAAAAACAATTATTGCATTTAATATTTGAATCGTAATATTATAACATACTAGATAACCCGGCAAACGTTGTTTTGCCGTATAAATTATTTCTATTGTTTTCTTAATTCAATGTATTACATTGATGTTTTTGCTGGATAGTTATGAAATATACTTTACGACCTATTCTCATACCTACGAAATACACACAAAAAGTTTCATGACAATTGGTCAAGCGGTTTCGGAGGAGTTTAAACACAAACCGTGACACCAGATTTTTATATATAAGATGTACTTTGAACTACTTACTTGACTTCATTTTTACTAAGTTGTATATTTATTGTCTCTTTATAAGAAATTCTTTAAATATAATAAGATATTACAAAAACGCTTGTGTTCGCAACACTGGTTACATATCTTAACACACAATTCAAACAGCTAAGAGAGATAGCTAGCATTTGATTTGGAATCGACTTCAAAAAAATGGACAATATCTTTCCATTTAACTTCTTTATTATTAAATATAATTTCATTTTTACTACTCATTAAACAATTTCTTGTACTCTTAATCAAATGGGGAGCATTATAAAAGAAGAAAATATTTTCATCGGTGACTTTAAAAAAGGGATGATGGTCATCTACACCTAGCAAATTAGCTAACCTAATATTATTTTTATCCTGATCACAAACAAAATGACAGGGATATAAATTAATACCTTGAAGTTGCTTTATCACTTCAATTACAATAGATTTTAAAGTTTCACCCTTACAACTTACATTTACAAGAAAATATGCAAAAGGTTGGTACCATTTTTGTCCACCGATACCCTGAACCATGAAAGTCAAGACAGCACTTGCGGTCTTCGTCATCAAAATCTTCAAGGCCAATGATTTTATCAGGAGATTTTGGCCAGCTTTGAACAATATTTCGTAATGTTCGTTCACATGGCCAATTAAAACTTTGACGTAAATGTCGATAAGTTAAGGGTGAAAGAAAATAAACTCCTAATGCGATAGTTTTCAATTGCGCATTATATCTGCAGCCGTTTGGTAGACGACTGCAGTTCTCTAAGCTATTTCTAAGGAATACCCGCAAACTTTGTGGAAGTTTGTCACAAATTTGATTTAAAAAATCAACTTCAGACCTTTCTGCTACACTACTTAATGACTTACATTCAGAAAGTTTTTTTTGCAATTCTATATTTTCTAGTTCTAGCTTCGCTAGTCTTTCATTACCTAAACGTATTTGCTCATCTTTTAATTTTATTATAATATCTTTTTCTTCAACAACATTTTCTACAATTTTTAATTTTTTAATTACAGCTGTAAAATCTTCTCTTAATTTTCTTTTTCTGGGAATTCTTTCAGAAACAGATATAGTATTACTATTCAATAATGGCCTAGCTAATGTAGACAGTTTGGGATTTATAGATTTATTAACTACACCACCTTCATTGTCATCCTGAATGCTTAAAGAATTAAGATAACTTAAAGCTAAATTTTGATCAGGAACAGCGCTTTTTGTTAGATTTCTTGTACATATCATTTTCGCCGAAAAATGATTACTACAAGCGAAAATGTTTTTGTTTGTCCCTCTAACTCCTAAGCGTTTTATCCACTCGTTTCTAAATAATAAAGTAAAACTTAAATCTTAAAATGCTTTTACTGCCATTATACGATGCCATCTTTGAATATGCGATATGTCGTTTTTTAGTTGAGCACGCTCAGGCATGCTTCTGAGCGGACATTCAATAAGAAAATGACCAGGAGTAATGACTTCTAAATCATTGGGATTAGTAGATGTCGCACTGAGAGGACACGAATTTATGACTGCTTCTATTTCCGCTAATGCAGTTGTCAACTCCTCAAACGTCATTTTGACCCCATGTAACGTACGGAACAGATGTAATTTGGCGATTTTAACAGCCACCTCCCACAATCCCCCAAAATGCGGAGCTGTAGGAGGAATGAAACAGAATTGAATAATATTAGATATGTAAAAATGATTAATATTTTATCTGTAATTAGCATCATAAAAATGATTGTGAAACTCTTTCAGCTTTTTATCAGCGCCTACAAAGTAAGTGGCATTATCACAGTAGATTTTTGTTGTTATGCCACGTCGACTGATAAAACGTTTTAAAGCGGCAATGAAAGCATCCCTCGATAGGTCGGAAACTGCTTCAATATGCACAGCCTTCGAACCAAAAAAAATTAATATAGCTATGTATGATTTATATGGGACTTTCCCCCGGATCTTAAGATAAGTTGGGATCGATCCGGCAAAATCGATTTCTGCAATTGTAAATTAAACTAATATATATATACGCATATACTCATGCATTCACATATATAAAATGTAGTATGAATGTAATATAAAATAAAAATAAAATAAAATATAAAATATAAAATCAGTCCTGTTTCTTTCTAAAATTGTCCAATTATTGAGTATTAAGTCACAATATAGGAATTTAACTAATGTGTTGGAGTAAACCAACAAAGTCAACTAAAAAGGTTTCCATTTACGCGTTTCGTCCGGTAACCAACCAGACTCATCAGAATGGAAAATAGAATTTATTCGTCATATATCAATAAAATTATGTCAATAAAAATTTAGAAAGATTAAAATTATTAAAAATATTAAAATGTTAAAAATATTAAAAAATTAAAAAATATTAAAAATGTGTATTGTAACGACCTTTTCCGGTCCTATCTATAGCCGGGGTATAACTCAGCGAGTATACCAGGGGTACGTTAAAAGAATTTTAAATTAGTAAAGTATTTTCTTGCACAGTACATGAACCATTAAATCATCTCAAAGATGATCAACAATCCATACACTATACGTACAAAATCAACCCTCAAAACATTACATCATATAATGAGCTTTGATTTCTGTTCGACCCTTACACCAAATTACTTTGGTATAAATGTCCAACCTTAGGTGTTTATTTACCAAATGGCAAATACACCCGTCAGTGAATCCACGTTCACCGTTATATCTACCCTATGCCAAGAAAAGGGAACTATTGATGGAAATACTTATAATAAAAATAACAATAAAACCCCTATTATATAACCATATTCCTAGACCTAAAATCACTTAGTATCCCTGCGTCCATCCTTCAATTCTCAAACAACAAACCATTCCTATAATTTAAGCCACTACTTTAAAAATGCAAAAATTAATTAATTAATATAATCAAATTACATATTTAGACCAAGAAAATTAAATTTAAATTAAATCAACAAAACTCTTGTTTATAAAAATTTTTATTATACTATTTCGTTTAAACACCTTCTAAACTCACATCAACCACATCCCTACATTCAAAAATTGTATATATGAAAATCAAAAATCCATATATAAATAAATAATCTCAAATCAATTTCAATATTAATTTTAATTTTAATAAAGTCACCATATATACATCTTATAACCATCATGTAATGTTTATACAGCGCATTAACCCCTTCACCACTCGCAATGAACGATAAAGTGATCAAGCACCATATTTTAGAATCCAAACCTCAAGCCACACATAGTATAGCTTGAGCTTCGTTTCCTGCTCAACCCTAACACCAACAAACTTTGGTATTAGTGTCAAACCTTAGGAGTTCTACCCAATGGCAAACACCCGTGAGTGACTCTAAGGTCAATTACCTTATTCCCTAATCCTTCAGAAATATTGATGGTAAATAAATTTATCCTAAATATACCCAATTTATCCCTAATATATAATTATATATATTAATATTAAGCCATTAAACATGTTCAACATATTAAACACATTAACGATTACAAGATTTTTACTACAATCATAACACATAAATATCAAAACAAATCAATAAAGTTATCAAAATTATATCCAATGAAACTTCACCAAAAATACTATAAAATACTATAATATTAAATCTATTTACTAAACGTCTTATCAGTTAACACACACGTTCATATAATATGGAATTGAACATTCCAACAAACTTCCATTCGAAAGCTGAAATAAGTTCCAGTCCTCTGTCGGTTCCCACTGACGCGTTTCGCCTGGGAACCACCCAGGCTCATCAGAGTGGATATGGGACAATTAAAATTCAAACATAATGTCATATGTCACTATATTGTCCGTCTAAGAGAAAGTATGTATGTTTCTTATCACTACCAACCACCACGTGATACAATATCTACATATCTATTTACATAATTTACATAACTCATGAATTTACATAATTTACATAACTAATGAATTAACATAATTTGCAAGTAAATAGTTACAACCAAACTCAATAACCCGTATACATTCTTACCAAACAACTATCCTGCCACACAACCATCACCACATCTCAAACTAAAATATGAAATCACCATTATAACATTATAATTTATCATAACCAATAAAACATAAAACAGAACCTATAATAGATATGTTTACATGAGATATACATGATCATATTCAAATGAATATGGACACATTCATATAGCAAAATATTATATCAAATTATACTAATTATCTAAACCTAAAAACAATTTCATTAGCTTACCTAAAAAATAATCACTTCAAACTTGTATATTGGACAACGTGGATGTGGTTTTTATGATGGGAGATGAGCAAGATTGCCCCTATTAAAAAAAATAAAATTAATTTTATTAATTTTAATAATTTTATTAATTTACCTGAAAATTTTCTGCATAACAGTTCAGGATCCAATTTGATGTCTCCATAGTTATGGTCGCATCGGTAAACGTCGTGGACAATTCGAGATTTAAGAGACTTTGCACTAAAGACGGTAAAGAGTAATTCCCTAACTCTTTCTTTTGTCCCATTAATATCTTCTGGAGTGAATTCATATAACCCATCAATATATGTATGACTCTTTTCGCTTCGTATTCTTTCGCTTTCAATGCCAAAGGAATCATCATTTCGAACAATGAAGTAGATTTTGGTATACAATGAAGTAGATAGTCCGGTGTCCACATCGCCAAAATCATCGAGAGAATCGAGATATGACTGCAATTCGTCGATAAGGTTTGCGCTTTCTGAATTTCTTCTTCCACATTCACTTTCGTTTTCTTCAATGATTTTTCGTCTTTTTCCTCCCGTTTCCTCTTCTTCGTCTCCTTGGCTATAGTTACTTTCACTGCCTTAGTATTCGGAAGAATTTCTGAATCCAGAAAAGGTTGTCCACACGTAATCTCTTCCTCGTTCTCGCTTTGATTTGGGCTGCCATCGTCCAATATCATCGGTTCCCTCATTTTCTTCGACATAATTTATTATATGAACTGGTGAGTAAGTATAACTACAAACTGATGTATTATCGTCTTCAGACTCAAACGACATTTAATAAATAAATTCATTTTTACCACTTTATATTCGAAAACTTTAATACATTTCTTATCATAAATAATTTATTTTAATTAATAAATCAATAAAGTAAACACTTAAAATAAGTCAAATACTAAAAGTAAACACTTAAAATAAGTCAAATACTAAATTTGCGTTGGTAAATATAATAACACATATTATCGAGACACGACAATGTTTGATTGGCTGCTGCAATTTGTTTGCAATATTTGCAATATGCCTAACTACAAATTAATTATTTTTTTTTTTTTTTTATTTTTAATTTCAATAATATGAAGTTTACTTTTATAATATAACTTCATTAATCTTAATTTTATATTGTAAAAAATTCAAATTCGCACTGACGGTAAATCTAATTTTTTGCTATGCAAAATTGTATGCTTTACCATACATGTGCTCACTTCACTCGTGTTTTTTCTACTCCCAGTTCTTTCTTCAAAACAAAAGTAACTGGGCATAGTTAAATACCCTACATACTTGATGAGACTGGCATCTCAACTTCGTTAGGTGTTAACTTACATCAGAAGCACTCCCTGCGCTGATGCTTGCAATTCCTTCCCTAACCAGCCATAACTTGACTATCTCCGGAAAATGCTGCCATTATACAACTCCGTCTTTTTTATTATTATTAACACCCGCACTTTAAAATATTGCAAACAACCAAATTAAACTACACTAAAAACACTGCGTTCCGTCACCATCGAAAAAACACGCAAAATAGTATAAAGAAAAATAGTATAAAGAAAAAACAATTATCTGTTATTAAAACAGCACCATCATCACCGCGTACGGCCGTATAATTCTTTCTGAAATTCTTATTTGAAAATATAAACACCACCTTCCCCTTCTCATTTCGCTACTCCTACATTGAAACTTGCGCCAAATAATATTGACGCTTTCTATACCATAAAATATATAAAGTGTATACAGCGCATTAACCCTTCCACCGTTCTCAATGAACGATAAAAATGGTCAAGCACCATATTTTAGAATCCAAACCTAAAGCCACACATATTATGGCCTGAGCTTTGTTTCCTGCTCAACCCTAACACCAACAATCTATGGTATTAGTGTCAAACCTTAGGAGTTCTACCAAATGGGAAACACCCGCGAGTGACTCTAAGGTCAATTACCCTAGTCCCTAAACCTTTAGAAATAGTGATGGTAAATAAACATGAACTAAACATACCCTAAACACATATATATATGAGGTCCCGAGTTTGGCACAAAATAACTTTGTTCACAAGATAATTTAATTTCGTATATTTATTATTTACAAAAAAAAAGTCTTATTTACGAAAGTCTTATTTATAAAAGTCTTATTTATAAAAGTCTTATTTATAAAAGTCTTATTTATAAAAGTTATTTATAAAAGTTAATTATTGAAATGTTTACAATTAAATGTTCAAAACTGTTTTTAATTACAACAATTTACTAGTTCGACTCTTAGGAACAACGCACACTCTGCATCACCACTCGCACAATTGCCTCGCACAACTTCTCCGCACAACTACTCAGTACAACTGCTTAACTTCAACTGACTCGCTTCGGCACTCTTTGCGTCGTGTTAATACGACGCAGAGTTGCCAACCCTACATATATAATATAAACATATATTAAAATGTAAAAATACATTAAATATATTAAAAATTGCTAAAAAATTATTATTAAATCTACTTAAAATTATTAAAAACATTAATAATATTAAAAATTATTAAAATATTACTATTATAAAATACTATTTATTAAAAGTCTTATCAGTCCACACAAACGTCCGTACAATATGGATTCAAAATCTACAAACTCTCTTTCGGAAGCTAAAAAGTCTCAGTCCTCTGTCAGTTTCCACTGACGCGTTTCGTCTGGGAACTACCCAGACTCATCAGAGTGGATTTAAAATTCTTATAAAGTCGTCGTTAAGTATTTATAAAAGTCATAGTCATTTCCTTGTTATATACTTATCTATTACTTACTTTATGCGAACCATCATATATTGCTTCACACTTTCTTTAAACTTTATATATCTTACATATTTTACTATATACACGCACTGACATGCGCACTTCACTATTTACTACAAAAAAAAAAATAAAGTTTTTTCTTGCACATTACATAAACCATTAAATCATCTCAAAGATGATCAACAATCCATGCGCTGCACGTACAAATTCAAACCTCAAAACATTACAATATATAATGAGTTTTGATTTCTGTTCGAACCTTACACCAAATTACTTTGGTATAAATGTCCAACCTTAGGTGTTTATTTACCAAATGGCAAATACACCCGTCAGTGAATCCACGTTCACCGTTATATCTACCCTATGCCAAGAAAAGGGAACTATTGATGGAAATACTTATAATAAAAATAACAATAAAACCCCTATTATATAACGATATTCCTAAACCTATACACACATAGTATCTCCGCATCCATCTTTCAAATCTTAATCAACAAAAACATTCCTATAATTTAAAACCAATACATTAAAAACGCAAAAAATTAAATAATTATTAAAATCAAATTACATAATAAAACCATGAAAATTAAAATTTAAATTAAATCAACAAAAACTCTTACTTATAAAAATTATTATTATTTCGTTTAAACACCTGTTGTGTCCGGTCTTCGGTGGGCGAAGTAACACTGCAGTGAACGTGGAGCGGTGACATGGTGGCCAGCCCGGTATGCTCGCCGGTTTTGGGGGTGATTCTTCTCACGTTCAGCAACAATCGCGGATATCAACAAAAATTCATGTCACCGGTTTGCTGTGGAAGAAAACCATTTTTGTGCGGAACCTACATCTAACACAATCACAATATAGCCATTGCCTAATTGATTTCGCTATATTGTAGCAGCTTGAAATGTCCTCGTCTGTTTTGTCTGTATCATCTTTCACACTACATTCACTCGGTCCCTCTGCAACTTATATACATTCTATTTTTCCCTAGCACTTCCACCACCGCCAAATAACTAAACCTTAATCCTGCATACTATTTGAGTTTTCCATCAAAAAAAAATTTCTTCTCTTTTTCCTTTTTTTTTTTTTTTTCTTTTTATTTATTAGCTTCAACAAAAGTCATGACAATAATAATCTTAGTAATCTTAAACCTAACTAATTAAATCATAATAAAAAAACAAAAAAAATATATAAGAGAACAAAAGAAAATATACACAACCAAATCTTTTAACTGAATTTTTAAACAAAGTAACAATTTCTCTTTACACAAGATCGTGTGTCTTACCTTCCAGCTGCTAGAATGACGTCACCCACGCTGCTGTTGACCTAGTTGAAACTTATGAATAATAAAAAAAATATAGATGTATGTATTTAAAGGTGTTTGGGACAATCAATTATATGTCTTATATATTATATGTATATATAATATATACAATTATTATATGTATATTATTACTATTTCTCTTATTGTTTTTTTTCTTTTTTTCTATATCATATATAATTCTTAAGATAATCTTTAACATTTAATACAATTCAACTTTTGTTTTTTTTTTTTTCTTTTTTTCAACTAAATTCAAAAGTATACATTCTTCACAATTTTATAAAAGTGAATGTAATTAATTAATATGTAGTTAAGTTAATATATTAAGATAATATAATTAAAAAAAAAATAAATAATAATAAAAAAAAATATATGAATACAGGCATGTACGTTTCTGTACAAGGTAAATCATTTAGTACAGGAATACCTGTACACCGCTGTGCCTTAACGGTGTGTATGGATCCTGTTGAATCCTTCCAATAAGAGTGTATTCGGCTTCCAATTTAATATTCTTACGGTCATGTCTTTATTTAAACATATTTCAAAAAAAACTATTCATTTACTGGCACCGAACTCGTGCGTTTGATCCACTTTTTAAGAATATGTTTATAAACGATGCAAACTTAATGAAATTTCACTTCTTATCTTTTGGGTTTTTAAAACAGCTTGGCTTTTATTAGCACATTTTCAAATTTAATGGAATTTTTAATTATTATCTTTAGGGCTTTAAAACAACTTGGCCTTTATTAGCACTTTTATTCACTGTTTTACTTTTAATCTTAAGTTTTGAAATAATCTTGGCTTTTATTAGCACATTTTCAAATTTAAGGGAATTTTTAATTATTATTTTTAGGGCTCTAAAACAACTTGGCCTTTATTAGCACTTTTATTCACTGTTTTACTTTTAATCTTAAGTTTAGAAATAATCTTGGCTTTTATTAGCACATTTTCAAATTTAAGGGAATTTTTAATTATTATTTTTAGGGCTCTACAACAACTTGGCCTTTATTAGCACTTTTATTCACTGTTTTACTTTTAATCTTAAGTTTAGAAATAATCTTGGCTTTTATTAGCACATTTTCAAATTTAAGGGAATTTTTAATTATTATTTTTAGGGCTCTACAACAACTTGGCCTTTATTAGCACTTTTATTCACTGTTTTACTTTTAATCTTAAGTTTAGAAATAATCTTGGCTTTTATTAGCACATTTTCAAATTTCGGTCGTTCATCGACCAACAGCAAAGGAAAAGAAAAAAAAAAGAGAGCATCACCGTGTCTGCTATGGCTTTTATATTCAATTCGCCTAACTGATAAATTCCTATCATGTTAGTGATCCTGTTAGCACAGCTTGCTTTCGTTAATTTGCGTTAGCTGGCCTTGTTTGACTTGAGGGTAATAACCTCTAATAAAGCTTTTTTTTCTTTCCCCTTTTCAATAAAGCTACAATTTGTCTTAGATATTTCAGGTGGTTATTCGCACTTGGCAATACTGTCCCCTCTCATTAAGTCAAACTTTACTGAAGCTTTTGTGAAGTTCGCCTTACTATATTGCACTAAACAAACGAGACTTGAACGTAAAAGCTTTACTTTTCGCCTTCTCTGTTTACCATTTTTTTGTTTACTTCTATTTTTACGGACAGCGTGCGCGCAATGCACGTTGTAGATTTAATAAATTGAAATTCT